AGTTGATGCTAGTGTCTAGACCTGTTGGTTAAATAATTTTTAATTTTTCCATTATTAATCAGGTAAATATTACATAATAAATTCTTGACGATTTCTGTTCAGTTGAAAATGGAAAACGAACAGCAAAGTTCCAACAGATCTAGTTTAAACCCAGACAGCATTACAATATTTTACATATATGTTATCAATATTTTCTGTGAACACGAAAATATTTTAAATTTGTATTTTAATTATGTGATTTAAGTGTTAACAATAATGAAGCAATATTGTGACAACGACTCGTGGCAGAAAATTCCATATTGTGGAATTATGTTTTGTAAGATATTTTAATAATATGTGGTACCACAGATTTCTAGGATATAGTTAAGTAATATATTTTAGAAACATGTAAATAAACATATTTTTATAATAATAATTGATTAGTGTTAACATATTTTTTCTAAATGTACTCAAATATTTAATGAGACAATTCATTATTTGATGCTTGTAGCTATATAATTGAGTTTGAGTACCTACTACAGTTACTACTATATTAAACTATATTCTATTTTATGTATATGCCTTAATCTTACAAACCATGGTACACTAATTAATTTATTAATATATTATCAGTTTATTCACCTCATAATGGAACTCAGTTCACCTTAATTTAATTTTTAGTTTTGAAGTTATTAATAAAATCCAAATATTGTTCACATTATAGTGAATTATTACGTATCTGGACACAATCCAATTTAAGTTAAGGTTTTAACATTATTTTTTTACTGATCAACAACCATTTTAATTTCTATATCCACAATCAATTCGTATACAGTAAAACTATGGTAAGACAGAACTTCTGTAAGATAAGAAAACGATAAAAAGAATAATTTCTTTGGTCGTGATTCAAATAAATAAAGAATGTGAGCCCTCTATCAAGTCAGAAACTCCGTTAAGATGGAAAAATTGGACGGGCCTAAGCGATTCTGTCTTAGCGATATTGTACTGCACTACTAATTATTACTCAATAATTTAAAATCCAAATCAATCATATTTCAAAGAGTAACTATAAAATGCCATACAAATCTTTTTATTTATTTAAAAATTTTTATTTTAAAGTTTTTTTTTTTCATGTTAAAACAGTACACTATAATGTTATTTACAATTTTTCTTTAGTTTTTTTAGTAATGCGATTAGTGGCTTGAGCCATCCACTTGCATATTCTAAGTGCTATTTCCATATCAGGAATTTTTTCAAACTTTGAACAGCTTCGAACAGCTTCTAATAACATAGATATAAATAAATATTACAATCAGAAAGTAAAAAAATATCAACTCTCACCAAATATTATTTTACACGAGTGCAAAGAAGAAAATTTGATTTTGCCTTTAAATCCAATATAGGATTAATTGAGTAACCAATCATCGAAAAATAGTTTTTGCATCATGCGTCTTATGGTTTCAGGAATAGTTTTTCCGACTAAAAGTGATAATTCTGAAACCTAAAAGATAAGCAAATAACATACAATTTTGAAATTAAGTAATATGTTAAATTGATATCTAAATGTTGATACTTACAACTTTATCTCTATAAGCAGATGATTCGAGTAACATTTCAAAATTGTTTATAGTTTCTTCGTTAGATATAGGGGGGGTTTCATTGTTTAATACAGATACAGCAGTTAAATTAAAGTTTTTTGTCACACCCAGTTCTGAGCAGATATTGTTAACATTTTCGAGCATTTTCTTAACTGATTCTGATACATATACCAAATGTTTAATATCATATTTTAAATTGGTAAATGATGTTCTAACATAATCATTGAGTCCTTGAAAAAATTAAAATTAAGTACATCAATAAATGCAGTTAACTATATAACACATTGAATTATAATTAAATCATTACAATATTTAAATTCAAACCATTTTTAAACCATTTTATTTTTCATATTTTTTTATATTATTATTAAATGTATTATTTTATTATTATCCATATTATTATGTGGTTAATTTATTGGTTGTGGACCAGTTATTTTTTGCTGTTAGTATAGTTTTAATGCTAAATTATTATAAAATGTCATACAACTTAACTTGCTAAATTTAAATCTGGTATAGAAACTAATATTTTTATATTATTCTTAAAAAAGGTTTTTGAATTATAAAAGTATATTATTTATTGTTTTATTTTAATATGAAATTTATTCCTATAAATATTTATTGCATAGATTATGATAATTTATTTAGGTAGCTTTTTTTTTAGAATTATATCATCCAATCCTAGTTATTATGTTTTGTAAGACTATGTATCACTGAAACAAAACGATAGGTACTACAAACAAAACAAAAAAATATCACATTGAATATTTACCTGAAAATTCTGGTGGTGTTTCTTTAGGTACACTTTATTTTGATACTGTATTTTTTATTTTTTTGTTAGTTTTTGATTCAATGTCTTCGGCCGAAGAAAGGTCTGAAGTGTTTTGGGCTTTTAAAGCTTTAAGCCTAGCCTTGGCGTAAGATGCTAAAAATATTTTAAAAATACAAATTAGTTAAAAAATTTACATAGGTAATATAGATACATTTTTATACAATTAATACATTACTCACCAATTGGTTTTTCAGATAGTAGTCTCACTTTATAAAAGTCAAATTGAGATTTTGAGGTTAGATTTTTTTTTCTATAAATTTATTTTTGTTTTTTATGAATTGTTTTGGCCAGGCACAATATCCGTTTTTTAGCCAAATTGTAGGTACTGCTGAGACAGAGTTGTCGCTTAAAAAATTAACTATAAGCTACATTATTTCCTATAAATTTAAGTAAAAAGATATATTTATTTAAATCAGAACAATTAGGTAAACATTTCTATTATAAAATTATTTGTTCTGTTCATTCTCATTTAAAATTCTTACTCAGTATACATTACAGCTTAAAATTAGAAAATCAAACTATTTTTCTTATCTTAAAAGACAATTAATTTAAAAATAAATCTTTATACTAACAACTAGAATAAATAGTTTTAATGAATAGATACTCTTGATCAAGAGTCTAGATCACATGTATTAATCATAATTATGGTAACAATTGAAATTAATTGATTTATTTTTTTAAAAAATTAATAAATAGTAAATATAGTATGTGTATGTATTTTATATAGACAAAAAAGTGGTGCTTTAGTGCATATAGCTAAAGGTGAAGGAACTCATGAAAATGGTGAAAATGAAGAGCGACATATTATAACAATTACAGGAAACAAAGATTCTATTTCAGTTGCCAAGAACTTAATTGAAATAAGGTACAACTATATTATCAAGTTTATTAAAAAATTCATGGGATCATAATTGAGAATCCTAGTGTTATCATTAAATCCCTCGTATTGTATTGTATGTCCTTTTTAGACCTTTTAACATGGTTGATTTTTTTTATGGTTAAACTTCAAACATTATAGTTACAAATCTCTTTCATGGGCAGAATTATTAAATTTTAAATTTTTAGTCTATCATTTTTATTTAATATATTTTATTGTGTCCAATTTATAATATTTCACTTTTTAGTTTAAATTGTTTCCAATCACTACTTATAGCCTATATCTTTAGTTCTTACACTATATTTTTGTAGATTTTATTGATAATATATCTTGTATTCCTCATTTTATTTATTTCTTAATTTTTAAAAAAATAGTATGAAATTCAATAAATAAAATCTGCTCTGCTTACACTTGTTGATATTATATTTTTGTAATTATGTAATTATTTATATAATTATTACATAATGTACTTACAGGTTTTCAAATATTAATAAGATAATAACTCGTTTTTACTAATTCATGTAGTTATGAAATAACATATTTATGTTTCAGCTTGTCTTTTTATTATTTATAAAAAAAATAAGTTGCTTCATCGGTATTATTATTTTAAGTATTAACTTCATTATTTATAAGATATTCATGTAACTTAATTTTTATAACTTAGTTAAACAGAATACATATAATGTATACATAGAAACATATATTTCAATTTTTTATTTCTAATGTGTCATCACAAGCATTTTGAAATTTTTCTTGGATGCAATTAAAAATATGGCCACTAATTTATTTATTAAAATAATTAATTAAGTTAATTTAATGCTAAAAGGTTTGTATATATTCTAGGGAGTACTCCTTCAATATGCTATCTATTATTTCATATTGTATATTCTATGTACAATCATCAATTCTAACCCTTATGTATGCGTATGCTATATTTTACTTTACAATTTTTTTGTGATAAGTTTAATATTATTAAGTAAATGTATAAAGTAGTCCACAAATGTATTTTATTTAACAATATATAGTATTATTTGTCATTAAATAAATTACGGGAAAAAAGATTTTAAGTCTTTTTAAATAATAATGTAATATAAATTAAATATACTTCCTAATATCATAGGCTGACTAACCGTTTTCGCTCAGAATCGTTTTTCTTATACAATGATATTATATCATTGAATTCAAATTTAATACCATCCATTATACAGTGACCCACTTGTAACCTACTGTACAGCAGAGCAACTTTTATATTTTATATTTAGTAATTAATGTTTCATTTTATTTAATATATCCTAAGAATTAGGTATGAATGTATTATACCTATTAATTTTACTTACCTACACACAGATTTCTATAGGTTTTGTCATCAATTTTAGTAGGTATTAGTTATTAAGTACATAGTACTATCTATATTCTATATTCTATATAAAAATATATTAATAGAATTGTAAGTAAGTTAAATAAGTAGGTAGGTACTTATATAACTATATAGATTTTTAAACTATGTCCCAATTGTTTTAAAATTAATTTCATTATAGGAGCAGCTGTTTAACAACTTTATTATTCCTAAATCTAATGGCACTCTAATTGATATCTCTCAGTGCGTACTTATACAAAGTCTTGAATACTCAGTGTCAAATGATGTAGTTAAAGAAAATGAAACTATAGTATCTCCTAACAACAGATTTTCTCTGTATACTAGTCCCTCTTCATCTCGATGTTCTTCCATAAGTTGCTAAGTCATGTGAAATTTGGTACGTACAATCCAATGGATTGGACATTTCAGGTATACTTAAAAAATACATGCTTATAGAATTAAAATCAACATACAATAATTTTTTATAGACAATAATGGACTTATTACAAAGTCCAAACGATGGCCGATTTATATTAGCTGATGCTAAGTTGAATAATGGTAGTCTCTCTGACGAAAGACAGAATACATTGACTAAATTATTAATGAATTTTATGTTTCAAGATAAGAGCAAGTATGTTTAATGTTTATATTTGTTTTTAATCTAATGTGGATTAGTGTACCTACCTAATTGGGTTGTATTTTACTTCTACCTAATTGTCACTGGGTAGTTTATTTAGTATTTAATTTTTTGAGGCAGAATAATTCTAAACAATTCCTTTTTTCATTATTCTCATAAATATTTCATACATTTGAAAATGATAACATTTTATTTGGATGTTAATTATAAGCTTTAAATTGTTATTATACGTACCGACACTAGTACACTACATAACTGCATTTTGTTTATACTTGTAATTTTCAGAGGCACTGATTTATTTTTCCGAAAAATATATAGTTTAATAGCTGAAATATTTCCTAACGAAGAACAGGTTGGTATAGGTTAATATTTTTAAAATTGAATTGTATCCTAATTTGCTATTTCCATTTATTTGTTAAATTAACACAATCATAAGGCTACCTAGAACTTAAATTTTAGCATTTTATAAGTAGTAGTTTAATGACACTCATTATACATAAAGAATCATACTTATATAATATGTGAAATATTAAATAAAAATTAAATATTAAAATATTAATAAAAAATGTATTTTTTTTTTTTTTGTGGCATCGACGACTGCCTGAGAGTTACGTCGACAGCACCGCCATCGTTCATTAATTTTTTTTTAGTTATTAATATTTAATACATACAACAATTTATTGCAATTTGGTTTCCATACACTCCAGAACTCGGAAGCCAGTGTCTGCTTTCCCTTTCCGTAGCGATTGCTAGTATATGTGTAGGTCCCTGATGGCACGAGAGTGTACAATGTTAGTACTGGCCTTGTCACATATGGATAGGCTAGACGTACCTCCCATTAACCCCTCACAATATTACTATACAGTATTTCGGAAGTCACGTACTGAGGCTCCTCTTCGCGTGCCGGCGTTGGATGGCTGTCAGGACAGATGCCTACGTAGAAGGTCCCCGTCACCTTCCCTCGGCCGTCTGCATGTTCTCTCTTCTTCCTCCTTAGTATACTCTTACATATTTATGAAGTTGAATTTGTGTTCTGATAGTAAGGAGTAATATCCAAATACTGCCATAATTTGTATACGATGTTGGATATATAAAATGTATCTACATAAATACATAATATAATACCTATTCGTATTTCGTAATAATTTCGTAGAGGTTCGAAAATATTCAATCAGTAAATATTATACATCGTACGTGACACGTGCAGACCGCGCAGCACACTAAAGTAGTATAGTACTGTGGTCTGTCGCCAACTGCCGTGGTAAACGGTCTGTTAGTACGAAAAATATCTGTATACCTAGTTAAAAATTTCGTATAGGCGTATAGCTACACATTATACAAAATAAAAATTCAAACTCGTATAGGAATATAGTGTAATAATATATAATTATATACATAGTGCCTTGGCCGTAATGCTTATTGCTTACGAACGATCTTATGGATGAACAATAATATTCGTATGACGTAGGTACAAAATATTATATATTGCACGCCTGCGTCCTGCGATACACTTTATTCGGTACCAAATCAGATTTCCGAGACATTATTCAGTATTCAGGATTTCATGATTTATAATATGTATTGCTATCAAGGCTGGGCAAGTTAACTATTTATTTTAATTCGTTAAGTTAAGTTAATATAGAAAAATGTAAGTTAAGTTTAAAGTTAAAAGTTTATTTCATTTTTTTTTTAACTTCTAAAAGTTACAAGTTAATTAGAAAAAAAAGTAACTTAACCTAGTTAAAAATAAGTTACTTTTTTAAATTCTGAGCGGAGCGATGAATGTATTGGTTTTACAATGATGTGTGTTTTTATATTTTTTTTATTTTTTTTTTGTGTCTGTCATCACGTATTAGGACAGTAAAAGTGCTTGGATTTTCTTGGATTTTCTGTACACCATACAATTTTGAAAATATTTTGACTCTTTTTGAGCTGTTTATGGCCATTTACAGCTTTCAATTTTTTTTAGTTTTTTTTTCTATAAATATCAATAAAGTTTTATCTGTTGGGCTAAAAAGTGTAAAAATTTAATACAAGGCTCCTGATATATTGTTACAATAGCAGTTGAAAAATATTAAAAATACATAGGCACAGTTTTTTTTATAAGCATTTAAAGATCAAATTTTGACAAAATTTATCAAAATCTCGAAAATTATCAATCATTGTAATTAATAAATTATAAAATGTTCAGTTTTTATAGCTAAGGATTACAAATTCAACACAAAGGTTCTCATAAATAGTTCATACTATAACCAAAAAATCTAAAAAATATATGAACACACTTATTTTTTACAGACATTTTAAATTCAAATTTGGACGAAATTACATATTAAAAAACCTAGAATAACTATTTTAGTTATTTTGTTGTGATTGAATAATATTATTCGTGGGTACTTGAAACTTCTTAAGTGTACTATTATATATCTATGATAGTTTTACGGTTTTTGTTGATGTATAACGCGTTATAAGTATCTAATGGATATTGTGATATGATTAATTTGGAATTTATTATAGGTACCTATTATAGGTCAATTTTTTGTTTAATAAAATAGATATGTATATAATATGTCTTATACATAGACTGACATACCGTCACCGCTCAGAATCGTTTTTCTTATACAATGATAGTATATCATTGAATTCAAATTTAATACCATCCATTATACAGTGATCCACTTGTAACCTACTGTACAGCAGAGCGACACCCACTTGCCCACCTTTTTTTTAAATAAAATTAACAATTATACCTACCTAACTTTTTTAAAGCTAACAAATAACATTATTATAAATCAAAAAATGTCTTACAATATTTGAATAAATATTTGTAATAAAATTAGTTACTGTAGGTAATTATATTAATTTTGAGTATTATACTTTAATTAGGTAAATGGTAAATATCACGCTACTACGGGTATTATTGACATTGACGGGTCAAGTTATCGCTGTAATTCTATGAATGAATAAAAATATAATAATAAGTAATGATATTAATAATGATTAGGTATAGGTTAGGTGATATGTCGTGTATGGGATAAGTACTGAGTAAATTGTTATATTTTTCTTTTATTATTGACACAGTTACCCCTATGACATTTCCCTCTATAATATAGTTATAAAATATTTTCTGTGAATATGCAATATGATAACTTACTACTATTATAAATTATTATTTAATAAAATATATTTAATATTTGTTTCTTTTTATATTATTAATTTTAAATATTTGGTTTGGGAAAAAATTAACTTAACGTGCCAATAAAATTAATTAACTCCTTAAGTTACTGAATAACATGGGGAAAAATGTAAATCGTTAAGTTAGAAGTTACTTCTGAAAAAAAAGTAACACGTTAATTAACTTAGTTAAAAGTAACTTAACTTTTTAACTTAACTTTAACTTATTAACTCGTTAATGCCCAGCCTTGATTGCTATAATGCTATGTTTTCAATCTAAACTTCTAAATCCCAAACTAATTTATAATAGATAGCCAAAGATAAGGTAATTAGTATTATTATGTTATGAATTTATAATATTTATAGTATATACGATTTACGGTATTCGATAATAATATCATCACTCATCAGTGTCGTTGCAAGATTTTTGTGTTAACACACGGACAGCTATGTTTTTATCAAAATTAGTAAATTTTAACGTATAATCACATTGATGGGTATATTTTTAGGTTTCAACATAAATTCTACCTACGTATTTAACGGAAAATTGAGTAAATTATATATGAATAGGTAAGTACTATATTGCATGAAATTGCTGTATATTGGATAGCGGTTTATCTGTATGCATAGCGACGTTGTGATATATTTGATGTAACTATACTGTTAATATATGACAATTAATATAATATGTTTAAGAATTTAGGTATTACATAAATTATATATCGAAAATATTTTATGTAAATCATTATTTGAAATAATCGATCGAGTCTATACCTATGTATGCATGAATGCTGCTTATGTTTAGGTATTAGGTGTTTGTAATGTCGAATATAGGTATATCGGTGTATGATTTAATGTGGGTTTGCATAATATCATACTATGTTTCACATGTCCATGTAACTGTAGAACTAAGTGATGGCTCGATAATAATTTTTACTTATTGTTATATTATATGATATATATAAATAATTCCTACTGACGAATAATAGTAAAATAATAACAATTAAAAAGATTTATTTTTTCTCTTATATACCTATCTATAATCTATGTATGTGTATATAAGCTATGATTTTAGTCTAATGTAATTTCATACAACATTTCAATGTATTTATGGTTGATTAAAAATTTAAGTATCTGTAATATTATTCAGGATAGGTTAGCCTAATAGTATTGTGTATATAAAGATACAAGAATAAGAATGTATGTATGTTCTCACCTATGTGCTCATTTTAGCACGAGACTTTATGGAAAATGACTAGTAATATGAAAATTTATAAATGTTTAATTGATAAAGATATTACGATGGTACTACAGATGTAACATTTATTATTGTGTATTTCGAGATTATGGTAATAAACCGCATAAAGTATCTATTATAATTACCTACTGAAATGAGAGATATTGTTAATAGTACTTAATTTTCCGATATTATAACTTATACAATGATATATGAGGGAGGTGATATGCCTGTGTGTATACCCATGGTAAAATAAAAATATTATACAAGTGATATGACTGTTGTAAGTATGCGCTGATAAGATATAATATGTGTCAGTCACTTGAGTGATATGTAAGTTGTTGTATGTGCATACGCGTAATGCGTATACGTTTTCTCATACTTAAGCGTAAAATAATACGTTTTGCTAGAGTCGGATGGGGTTTCGTTTGTGGTGACGGTGACTGGTAACACTTGTGTTTTTCCTATGCACATATATTATTACTCTATGATGCACATGCATGAATTGTAATATGTAAATGTCGGTAGTGATTTGTAGGTTGTTGTATCATTTAATATCATCAGGTAGTGAGTATACATATAGTTATATCCATAGGCGCCAGGTACATGGGTGCCCGGGGGCTCAAGCACCCATTAAAATTATTATGGGGTGCCGGGCACCCATTAGAATATTGAAAATGTATAGAGTGTATTTATATCCAAGTTTTGACAATTTTAGCAAACGACTATTGAAATACCATTCTAGCTGTGATAAAAATTGCAATTTTGAAAACAAAAATAAATTGTATTACCTATTTGTATTGATAATAAAATGTAAAGGCGGGTTGCCACTATACACGTTCATGTGTACGTTTATACAAATCCTTTGCCGTGATTGGTTGGTTAGGTTAAGTTACCACACGGTTAACCACGAATCACGATACCGTGTGGTTTTACATAGCTGAACATTTTTCGTGTAC